CTTATATCTTGTTATCTGTGCAAAGCTCAGATAATGTCTTTCTGCTGCTGCTGCAGGGTATCTGTTAGCTGGCTATGCCCGCTCAGGCTATGCTTAGCTATTTGTTTTTTACTCTTTTTATAGCTACGATCGTTGGCTACATGAGTACAAGTTGCTGTTACTTATATGCCATGTACTTAACTTGTTATTTTTTTTTGCTTTTTTTGCGTTTTTTGTAATGGTTTTTTAATGGGCGCTGTACTTTGGCCAGGCAATCAATATACGCCGACACACAGCGACTATAATATATATGCATATATAAATATAGATATGTGTATTTTGGGCATATCTTATCGACGTGGCCAGGCCTTCAACTTGAACGAGTGCGTGGACCGAAAAGCGGGCTAAGCCTAATTAAACCGGAAGCATTAGATGACCGAGCCAACCGACTTGTAACTGAGGGCCAGCCAGTTATCTCTCCCTCTCTCTCGCTCTCTATCTGCTTAGATTTCTGTTTCCATTCCAGTTGACACGCCCCGGCTTTTGTTATGTTTATTGTTTTAAAATTATATGTCAGAAACTAAAAAGAAATAAAAAGAATAAGGAAAAAAAAAGCTGGCCATAAATTATAGAGAACAGATGCGCAGTTCTCGTTTTTTGTATTTTGTATTTTGTATTTTGTATTTCGTATTTCGTATTTTGGGCATTAGCATTTCGCCTTTCGTCTCATTTCGTATGGAAATGTTCCATTAAAATAGCTCGACTCAGACTGAACTCGAGCTGAAGTGAAGTGGCTTTAAAAGGCGCCGAGTGCGTGGTTGTGGCACAGCAGCTGCCCAAAAGCTGAGCGCTCTATGCTAAGGTAGCGGCGAAGCTATTCCTTTTTGGCCCAATTAGACTTTGGCACGCTAATTAAACGATTATTATTCAATTACAACGAGCGCAGCTGAGGCGGCAAGGGTAGTGTGGGCGGGGCAGGCAGGTTTATCTGTGTGTAGACACGTCGGCTTTTCAGTCGTTTAATGCCAACAAGCTGTGCCCTCTAAGTGTGATTTATGTGCAACGCCCACGCAACGCATCATAATCGAGATGAGACAAAGACTTCGGCTTGGCGCTCGCCGGAGGTCAAATTCAACTATTCTAATTGACATAGAAAACGATCTAACGATTCTGACGATCGTTGGATCTGCTTCTTCCCCCAAATTGTTGCCCCTGGCGCGCTGCCAATCAATTTACGTCAGGCGCTTGATTGGTCAACCTCTTAGCCCCACACACACACAGCTAGTCTGTGCGTGTGGCACCCCGAGTATTCCCTGGCCACCCCTTGATTAATGAAATTAGACAATCAACAAGAGTCGAATCGACCCAGCAATAGTCGAGCGAAAAAATTAAAATCACTTAATTAAATAATTTTTAATGTGCTTCGTTTAATTGTTGTTTATTTTGCGCTCTCTCCTTCTCTGTTGTTTTCTTTAGTTTATCAATTTTTTTTTTGGCGCTTTTTACGGCTGCAGTTTGTGGAGCAGCTGTCGTTTGTTAATTGCAAAGAATGGCCCGTTAAGAGCTCGTCTGCTTCGTCGTCATTATTCAAATTGGCATCTATTTGAGCATTTTCTATGCGTTCGGGAGCTACGGACTGCCGAGACGCTCAGATGAAGGTCATGCGATATGCGCTAATGGATCACTCAAGCTACATGGCTAACAGCTGATCAGTGTTACTCAGTTCGATATCAAGTGATCTTGGAGTGATCAAGAAGCAACACAGAACACAGCTGGAGGTTGATGAGCAAGGAGGGGTGAGAGAGAGAGAGAGAGAGAGAGAGAAAGAGAGAGAGAGTGGGAGATCACTCTGCTGATTAGTTCTGAAGGCTTTATGGATAAGCAAGTTCAAAGCATGGAAAATCCTTTAGCTAAGTTCGACTGATCACTGATCTAGCAATTGTGGAAGGGCAAGGGCGATCATGAATGCGACTGATCGCTAAGCAGAGCAGATAAAGACTAGGCCATATTAGAGACAAGACTGGATCAGTGCAAGAGACTGATCACTGATCACTGATCAGAAATGTATTCTAGGCACTAGCACTCAATTAATATGATCACACAGATCGATTAACTGATATCGATTGACAAGAGTGTTGCTAGTTCCCGCATAGATTAATCACAGTCAATGTCTAGTTGGCTGGGCCCGACACTTGGCAAATACTCTAGTAGTTGTATCGATTGGGCCCTGTCATCGATCACATAGATCAGCATGTTTGTCCATGTAACGTGCCAAGGCTATTTCTGAATATACAAAATACAATTTACTATCTAATGTCAATGGGTTAACAAACAAATAAACAAATGAGCAGACAAAAGAAACGTACAAACGGGTAGACAGCACTTGGGATTCCAGTATTATAAATCTTATGACTGCTAATGAGAGTCGTAAAACACAGTCACATTCATTCTAGACTCAGTTTCATGTTTCTCTCTCCTCTCTCTCTCTCTCTCTCGCTCTCTACAACAAATATTATTAGCAACACGTTGTGCGATGTTCAACGTTCTTTTTGTTGCTGTTTTTTGTTTTTAATTTAGTTTTTTATTTCTATATTTTATATCCATGAGCCCCATTTGATGATGATGACCTGCAAAGCACTTTGCATTTCATTAAGGCTTAATTCAATTCAAGCGCTCAACAATTAAACAATCGCCGCTTCGTATTTTGTTTCTTTCTCATTTTTTTTTATTTTTAGTAATTTTTCATTTTCATTGCATTTTTTGTTTTTGTTTTTTTATTAATTGAATTTTCTTAATTTGAATTTCGTCTGTTCGTCTTTGGAATCTGACTCAAACAGCATCGCAATCACATTCAATTCAATTCAATTTCAATTTCCATTTCAATTTTTATATTTACTCAAGGTAAACTTGATTTCATACACGAAATGTTTTCTTGTTTCGTTTCAATCTCATTCAATTTGATTTTCAATTTTTAATATTTTAAATATTCTATTTTTGTGTTCGATTTCAATGTCAACTTCAATTTCTATGCAATTTCAATTTCAATTTCAACTTCAATTTCTATTCAATTTCTATTCAATTTCAATTTCTATTCAATTTCAATTTCTATTCAATTTCAGTTTCAACTTCAATTTCTATTTAATTTCTATTCAATTTCAACTTCAACTTCAATTTCTATTCAATTTCAACTATGATTTCCATTCAATTTCAATTTCAACTTCAATTTAAATTTAAATTTCAACTTCAATTTAAATTTAAATTTCAACTTCAATTTTCATTCAATTTAAATTTTATGTTCAATTTTCGTTAAATTTTAATTTCAATATTTTTTTAAGAGCTTTTCATTTGTGAAAATCTTAAATTTGATTTAAATTTCAGTGCTTCAATGGCTCAGCACACTTTCAATTTGAACGTCAACTTCAATTTCCATTAAAATTTGTATTTATTATTTATATAAAATATACTTTTTTGATACCCTTTGCTGTCTGTAACTAGTTTGCTGTATTTCAACTTCAATTCCAATTTCATTTCAACTCAACGTTAATTTTAACCAAAATAATATTTCTGCCATTTCCTTATTATTTTATGTAAATTTTCTCAATTTAAATTTCTATCAAACTTCACTATAGTTTTGGGGCGTGTCTGCCCAACCCCCTGCACTTCACTGCCCTCACTCTGCTTTAGCTTGTGATGCTTACTTTTTAGCAACTCTCTTAATTATAGCTAATTGGGTTTTTTTGTTTTTCGTTTTTTATTTCTAATTTTCCTTTGGCCATTTCGCAGAATTTGTGAAAATTCGCACAAAATAAGCAAACGTTCGTAATTGTTGTATTTTGTTTGATGTTTCATTTGGCATTTTTGTAATTTTTTTTTTGCTTTTATTTTATTTAATTTTGTATGCTGCTGCCTACTTAACGCTCAACGCTTAACTCTTAACGCCTTTTGGCATTTCAAACAAATTAATGCCATTAAGAGATCGCAAACAGCGCTGCAATGCGAGAGGTCTTAATCCTCAACAAATGTTGCAAATTGATCGCTCGGAGGGGCCATTGAAATGCTGAAATACACAGAAATACTGAAAACACACACACTAGCACACACACACACACACACACACACTAGCACACACTCGCATATTGATGCGTGCACGAAAAGCCAAATAAACAAAACGTCTTTCGTTTTTGGTCTTTGTCGTCGTTTGCTTTCAAGATTTAAGCTAAATTAATGGACACAACCCACTTCCACTCTTCACTCCCCCTCAGTCAGCCCCCTCCCCCCCCTGCACACACCCTCCCACTCTTCAGCTGCTGGTGTTTGCCTAAAAAATTGGCGCTACCTACGCGCGTTTGTTTTTAGCGTCTTTTGATTCTCTTTTTTTTCGGTATTATTTTGTATATTTTTCACGTCTTGTCTTCTGCACATTTTTATGTTATTTTTACTGTGTATACCCCGTGTAATTGCTCAGCAAGGGGTATATTGCCTAATGTGTAGAGTTAATTCTATTTAAACAAGGCCAAAGAGAGAGACACTGAGAGAGGGAGAGAGACAGAGCGAAAGACAGTTGTGGATCTGAGTTAGGGTAGCTGCTAGTCGTGCATAGCCCAATTTGTTTGCTGGCTATCTGTTTTTCGGCTGTCTTCTGCTTTTGCGATGATTCATGCGTCGTTCGCCAATTTAAGCTAATAGACTGTCAAGCAGGGTGGCGCGGGGGCGAGTGTGAGTGGTGGGGGGGTTGGAGGGGGCTCGCTTAATCAATAATCATCAATCGTCTTTTACACACAGTAAATAATCGAAAATACTTGAAGGGTGAAGGTGCTGCAGGGCGTGGCTCCTCGCTGCATAATGGATGAGCAAAGGCTGCAAATTATTGATGGGCGTACGCACAGCCTCACATACACTCAACACATAAACATATCTATATCTATATCTCTGTATATATATCTATATCTATATCTGTGTTAAATCTTCATTTTCGTATAATGTTATTAACCATTGCCACCTGTTGCCTCTTCTGTTTGCAGCCAAACTCTTGTGTCTTGCGTGCACTTTACGGTAAGTCTCGATCTACCTGGAGAGCTGAAAAGGTGGAAAGCGCAAAACAGTCAAATGGAAATCCGCTTTAAGCCTGACAAAGCGCAGCTCATTTGATGGCCATCAATTATAATTAGTGAATCAGAGATTCGCCTTTGATTAATTTTATTTTTTTCTGTTGTTCACATTCAGTTCTCATGACGCTTAGCTAGAGCCAGGCTTAAGCTTAACAATTTGGCTAATGTCGAATTGAAGTTGAAGCGCAAATATTGAATGCCAAAGCTCGTTCAATGCACAACGATATTAAACCTACTCAATTTCCATATTTGCTCGATGCGAATTGAATATCAAAATTGAATTTTCATTCCATTTGATTTCGATCTCGGACACTTTCAATTTCGCATTCAATTAGTCAATGCAATTGCAAAGAGTCCAAAAGGCTCGATTCAATTTGAGTTCAATTCAATTTGCATGCGATTTCTCTTCACTTTTCATGCATATCAAAGCTATATACATATGCATATATATCTGGGCATATATAGCCATGTTCTGTTTACATGTCAGGCCATTGGCCGTTTCGCTGTGTAGCCCATTTTTAGCCACGTTCAGTGTAAACAGGCTGCCAAATGGCTTTCTGTGTGCCGCTGGCCGTGCCCTGCTGCACGCAGCTTCCTGGCCCCAGATGACGTATGCGTCGCAAAATCAATCACAGCCAGCTGCTAATTTGCTGCACGCAATCGATGTGCGGCCGGCAGCTGCTGTCACAAGGTGTGGCAACGGCGGCAAAGTGTGAGGTCCAGCAGACACAGCGGCGCCAGCTGTATGTCCTTGTGGCGACTCCTGCTGCTGCTGCTGCTGCTGCTGCCGCTGCATGTGGCATGTGCCCCAAATGCCATTGAATCAATCAAAATGCGTACGCAAGCTGCCCCAGGCGCGCGCTCGCTCGCTAGCGAGTTACGCGCAATTTAACCTGTCTGCCAATTCGCAGCTTTAGCTGCTGCCTGCCCCTCTCTCGCTCACTCTGTCTATTGCTGTCACTGTCTTTCGCCTGCTCAATTATCATAATTGCGCACACACACAGACAGACAAGCTGAAATGATAATGTCGGCGCCAGCATTTCCGCTTTTATGAACGTGGCTACAGCTTGCCGCCCCCCGCAGCCCCATACCAGAACCTCTTTAGACCAGCCCAGCTGTGTGTGTGTGTGTGCGTGAGTGGGTGCCATCCAAGTCCATGCCCATGTCCATATCCGTGTCCATGTTGTAGCTGCCTGACACGCACAATTAAGTGCCAGCTGCCATTCCTATCCACTCTCTCGTCCCTCACTCTCTCTGTGTCTCTCTCAAGGATAACGATTAACGATAAGCGCGGCTGCAGCTTTGCTTTGCTTTTTGCTCTGGCTCCTGTCTCCTGTCTCCTGTCTTGTGTGTCTTGTCTCTTGTCGCTTTTCTCTTGGAATCAAATCAAATAAAATAGAATTTACTACGCTCACGCACGCTTCCATGTTCTATCGGCTCGTGGCCCAGCCCAAAAAGCTTTGCCCTCGGCTCGTTCGCTTTTCGCTTTTCGTTTTTCGTTTTTCGACTATTTTTATATCTATTTAACATTTTCATTTCCGTTTCGCCTTAATGCACTTGACCTTCAGCCAAATGCTACAACAACAAATTGAAATAGTAATAAAAATTGAAAAACAAATAAAATGTGAAATCTGAAATATGAAATCTGCGAGCTTCTGGGTTTGGATTTGCGTTTGTTAATTCTCAAATATTTTCTACCATCGCAGGCCAAGCGAAACAGCAGCAGCAAATTCTATTCCGAGGTTTCCGGTTATTTCAATATTTCTAAATAATTTTTAATGATAAATTTAATATATTTTAAAGCAATGCAATTTAAGTTTTCATTCCATTTGCCTTTCAACTAAACATTTCACTTGCATTTCAGTTCTGTTTCAGTTTCAATTTCAACAGTCAATCATGAATGCATTTCAATTTCAATTTAGCTGTCTTTCAATTTAGTTTCAACTTTTGCGCAATCATAGATTCTATTCAATCATAACTTTATTTCAATTTCAACTGAATATTCTTGCAATTTCAATTGCAATTCAATTTTGCCTCTAATTTCAATTGAAACAAAGTTGATGGCAGCTTAAATTGAATTGAAATTGAACGTAAATTACACCACATGTAGTTGACTCTATTGGATAATTGAATTGCACTGCAAATTGCTATAGCTAAAATTCTGTTTCAATCGACGTTCAATCGATTTCCCTTTCAATTCCATTTTAGCTACAAGTCAAAAATAGATTTTTGATCTCTATTTAATTGCAATTGTTTGCCTTCCCTTTGGCTTAGTAAATTTGTAGTCAATTTCGTTTCAATTGTTATTCAACTTTGATTCAATGGACAATGAAAATGTTCTAGAAAATCGCACTCGCCTGACAAAAGGCCACGTTACAAGCTCCTCTATCGCCATTGTTGGCATAACATTGTGAATTTTGCAGTGTAAATTCCATTAGGATTATATTACCAGACACACACACACACACACACACACACACACACACACATGGGAAGCCACAAAAGTTGCGTTGGCCCATAAACTAGAAGAAATTTCTTTTATTATCCTTGGCAGAGAGTTAGCAGCGAGGACGAAACGTAAAACGTGAAAAGTTCAAATGGATTAGGGCCAAGCTTCAAGCGGAAGCCTGACAAGGCGTTGGCTACACACACACACACACACGCACACATATGAGTGTTGTGCGTGCCAAGCGAAGTTGTGAGAATATGTGTCAAGGACAATCAAGTCGCCAAGTCGTTTCACATTTCGCAGAGTGAGCGAGTGTGTGCGAGTGTGTGTGTGTGAGTGTGAGTTTGGGCTATCATATATTGTATTGTGTAGGCGTGCCTAGCTGCAGTTAACACACAACTCGCACACCTAGTGGCAGAGCTCCGCCCAGCTCGCCTCCTTCTGCTACAGCTCCGCGCTCCGCCCGCCTCGATCCAAGCGACATTCGGGACACATTTGGAGCACAAACTAATTGATATTTTCACAGTCGTTTTTTGCCCATTTTTCTGTGTGTGTGTGTTTTCTTTTTTGGCACGCCTTGTCGCATAAATTTTGAAATTTTGTTGCCCGCCCCCATGGGACGTGCCGCACACGCCCAGTTCTCGACGCACGACGCTCGCCGCTTCAAATGGATTAAAAACATTTTTTGCTGACTTTTGGAAACTGCTAAATTTTAGTTAATTAAACTTTACCATACGAACTACCGAAAAAATAAGGCATAAAATGTCGAAACTTGCCTTGAGCCCAAGCAGAATTTCGTTCGCTTTTCTTTTGAGTTATCCAAACATTTTTCAATTGCTACGCCCACCAAATAGACAAACCAAAGATGTAGAGAACGCCATGTAGCTGAGACAATGACGACCACCAGTTGCTGCGGCCCAGTCGGAAATAGACTTACGTTGCGCCAAACGAAAATATTCCAACTACTTGGAAAATTGTGCCTGATATTGAATGAGTTTTCCGCTCAGATGAATCTTCAACTTTTTTTTTTGCTCTGCGATTCTCGAGAATGTTGGCAGCGGCGTGCGCGGCATAAACAAAAAGCAAACAGGCGCTAGGCGGCAGTGCTCGACTAGCAGATACCCGGAGACCAATAAAGCTACCTCATAAATATCGATAAATATCGATAAGTGCGCAATGAAATTGGTAATCGAAAAAGAGATTTTAAACTTGAACTGCCTTTGAGTTGTGTCCGCTTTCAGATAGGCAAACCTGACCAGTGTCTCTATAGCATATGTATCGATTACTTATCGATAAATAGATTACTTATCGATAAATATAAATAAATAGATGCAGACTAATGTCCGCTTTCAGATAGGCAAACCTGACCAGTGTCTCTATAGCATATGTATCGATTACTTATCGATAAATAGATTACTTATCGATAAACATAATTAAATAGATGCAGACTAATGTCCGCTTTCAGATAGGCAAACCTGACCAGATCGACGCAGCTTCATCGACTTCATAGGCACTGCCTCGCTTGACTGGAAATAAGATACCCTAAGCTTCTATTTGCAATTGGGTCTAGGGTATAAGCAGCATTTGGCTTCTGTGTTTACACAGCGCGAAAGGAGAAACAAAACTTGCACTTGCCACGAGCTGCACGTTTCGCATTTTGCATGTTGAATGCCACGGAGCACATTTCCGAGAACATTTCCACTGCAAGTGGCAGCTGCTGGCAGTGCAACAAAATTTCCATTAGATTTATTGTGCACAAGTGTGTGTGTGTTGCCCATTTGGCCTGCTGCTCGCTTGGAACAAATAAACACATTAAACAATTTTAATGCGAATTCTTTCATAAAAATCATGTTGATCATCATCATCAACAAGATCATCAACGAGCTGCCCGGTTTGACAGCTGTCGCACGGCAATGACGGCTGAAAAGCAAAGCCAGATACAAAGATACAAATGTATCTCAAAAGTGTGAAGAGCGCAGTAAATGTCTTTAAGCAAAAGCCACAGAGCTTAGCGCAAAACAAAAACATATAAAGCTCCAGCAATTGCTTGATAAAATTCCTAACACACACACACCTACACACACGCACAGCAGTCATAAATATCAATAAATTAAAAGGCCCAGTTAACACTGATAACTGATTGTGTCAATGACGGTGCTAGCCATAATCAACATAAATCGCTTTGATGTCACACATGTATTAAGTCTCAAAATTAATTAGATTTTCTCAGCCAACAACAACGGCAACAACGAGCGCAACTTTGCCAAAAGATAAGAGTTTTATTTCCACTTCTCTCTGTGTGTTTTTTTTAGTCAAAGTTTTTTGTGCCTTGCTGCTGATAAGACATCTTTGACATAAGACAAGCCAACAGCAGCAGCAGCGGCAACAACAACAACAACAACCAACAACAGCAACTGATAAGTTGTTGATAAAACGAAAAAAAAAATGTAATGAAAGTTGTGATTGCAAACGTCCTTGCAATGGACACCTATACA